GGAGGGTGGGCGGGGCGGCGGTGGTGCTGGGTGTAGTGGGCGGAGCCGTGGCCACAGGAACTACAGACACGTTTGAATAACAGAAAACAGGAAACACTTCAGTACATGTGATGTGCTCGTCACTGTGAGCCACACGTCACAAAGAGAACGTGAGCTTCAGGAAAAAAACTTTGAACATTTAGTCTTTTATCTGATTTTAAATGAAATACAAAGTTCAAATTATGCTAATTTTATTCATTTTAATAAAAAATTGTAATCTCCTTCCTCTGATTGCTTATAAATCACACAGAATGGAGTGTATTGAAAATCTGAAATAGCAGAAAGTCTCCTGTGAGGGGTAGGTTTAGGGGTAGGGTTGGTGTAGGGCAATAGAATATACGGTCTGTACAGTATAAAAACCATTACGCCTATGGAGAGTCCCCACTTTTCACAAAAACAAACCTGTGTGTGTGTGTGTGTGTGAGAGAGAGTGAGTGAGTGAGTGAGTGAGAGTGTGTGTGTGTGTGTTTCAGCACATACATGTTCTCTGTGTGGTGGTGACGGCGGGTCCCTCCGTGTCCTGCAGCTGAGCGTGAATGCTGATGGTGTACTGTGTGTTCGGCGTCAGATCATTAAAGCAGTGTCTGGACGTGGAGCCGCTCAACCTCACTTCCTGTTTCTCACCGTCTGAAACAGAAGATTGAGTGGAAAACCCAGAGATTTACGCTGCTCGTCTGTGTGTGTGTGTGTTGACATCTACTGCACTGTACATCAGTATCAGGTAAAGCGTGTGAACTCTTCTGAAAGTAAAGCGGTACTGGTCTCATATGTGAACACGATCAGACATCTGTCAAACGACGCTGTGAATCATGTTTATACGCTGCATGCTTCAGACTCTAAATGAGGCGTTTTGTTCAGTGACCTATAATCACACGAAGCCTCACCACTTGCCAAAGTTACAATCACCTGACAGCATTCCATAGACTGCCATCGCTCTATATACAGCTAGTTACTATAATCAAACAACACAATTAATTTTTACAATTAAACTTTCATGCACTGGTCAGTTTTTGGTGTGTTTTTGTCTCTTTTTTATAGTGGACTAGAAAACATCCAAAATACACATTAAGTGTTTTATATATACATATATATGCCTATATAGTTTTTATTGATTTTATTTCCATTGTAGTTTTAGTTATTTTAGTATATAAAGTTAAACTAAATTAAAATGAGAAATGTTGCCTTAGCAACTAGCTGAAATAAAATGTTTTTGTTTTTTTATATATTTTTTTATTTCAGTTAACGTTTATTTTATTTCAAGTAAGAAAAACAAAAATGTTTTTTAATGGTTTAAAATTTTTAATTGGTTTTAAATGTTTATATTTAGCTTGGGTTCACTATAATAACCCTGATTCACACGACTGATACCAGATTTATTCAAAATATATATTACTGCTGAAAACACTGTGAAAATGTGTTTGTTTCTGTCTGCTGACAGTATTTTCTGATTTATGATAAAAAGAGAAATCCAGAATCCCCTCTGAAAAAACCTTTAACTCTAATATGACGACAAAATCAGACCAGAATTATGAATCGATGCTCAGATTTCTGTTCTGGAAATTCATGCAAATTAGTGCATATTTAATTAGATAATGCCTCATTTGCATATATAAACATAACATTTCAGAAAATGTAAATACAAAAAATATGTGAAATTCTTAATGTAATTCATTAAACTGGTGAATTATGGTTAGCTATATTCGTTACACGTACCCTATTCACCTGTAGTGTCTTAATGTCCTTAAAAAAACACGTTATTTACTTTGTTTTTTACAGATTTCACAAATGAGGACGTCATCAAAAGGAGGTTTTGTCAGGTTTAACACACTTCTGTGAACACATTAGTCTCTAAAGCATGTGTAAGTATTTCCGAACACAAACACTCACTGAGCGGCGACTGCAGGACGAGGCGGTACAGGTTTGCGTGTCGATGCGGCTGCCACTGCACACACATGCTGCTCGTCCGCACCTGATACGTGCTGAGGTTACTCACTCCCAGATACACTAGAGAGACAGACACAGGCGTCAGAGGCGCTCACACGCACATGCATGTTCAGTGTGTCGTGCACTCACGTGTTTTGGCGCGTCCGCTCAGGGCCTCGCTGGATCCCGTGGTGTAGGTGGCGATGACTTTAACGCTGTACTCCGTCCCACTCAACAGATTGACGATCAGCATGGTGTTGATGTCGTCGCCCACGAACGTCTCCAGCGCGCGGCTGGCCGCTGTCAAAGGTCAGAGGTCAGAGGTCAGTGTGTGTGTGTGTGTGTGTGTGTGTGATGAGGCGCTCGGGTACCTGAGGTGGGCTGGTAGACGATCCTGTAACCCATGGTGGGTGACGGCGGCGCGTCCCAGCTGATGCGGAAGCGGTTGTACCACTCCTCAGACACACGGAGGTTACTGGGAGCAGAGAGAGGCACTGCGGAGGAAGAGACCCTGATTGGGGTTTCAGTTCACAACTGATCAGTCCCTCCCTGTGAAACACAACTGGCCCGTATGCACTCGTTTGTTTCATTAAAACATTCTAGTGAGACAGGAGACGGGTAGCTGACATTGTCTCTGAGGGTGTACAACTTTCATTTGTCCATTAGAATTTCATATCAATAAATGTCTAATGTGTTTTATAACTGTACAGCATGTTGTTGTTTTTAAATGTGCTTTATAAATAAATAAACTACACTAAACTATTGTGAAGATGAGATTTTCCTCTTTAGGGGAGCTAAAGTACATGTTTATAGCATATGCAGAAGGCATTCCTGGCCGCGTCCTTGAAACATGCACAAATCAACTATCAGGAGTTTTCACAGACATTTTTAACCTCTCCCTTTCCATGTCTGTTGTCCCCCAATGTTTCAAAACATCCACCACTGTGCCCATACCAAACACACCCAAAGTCACATGCTTGAATGAGAGGCGCTCCATCATCAGTTAGTGCTTTAAGAAGCTCATCAGAGATCACTTCTGCCGGCATCTCTCGACCCACTGCAGTTTGCCTACCGCAACAACCGCTCCACTGACCACGCAATTGCCTTCACCCTGCACACTGCACTTTCCCATCTGGACGAGAGGAACACCTATGTGAGAATGCTGTTTGTTGACTACAGCTCAGCGTTTAATACCATAGTGCCCCCTAAGCTTGTGGTGAAACTCCGGGCTCTGGGTCTGAATAGATCCTGGACTAGAGTTGGCAGCAATATCTCCTCCCCACTGACCCTCAACACCGGTGCCCCACAGGGCTATGTTCTCAGTCCTCTCCTGTTCTCCTTGAAGGGTCAACAGCTTCAAGTTCCTTGGTGTCCACACACAGTCAGTGGTGAAGAAGGCCCACCAGCGTCTCTTCTTCCTCAGGCAACAGAAGAAATTTGGTCTGAACCCAAAAATTCTAAAACAATTCTACAGCTGTCCGGCTGGTATGGGAACGGCATCTCTCAACCGGAAAGCCCTGCAGAGAGTGGTTTGGACGGCCCTGCACATCGTCGGAGGTGAGCTTCCCTTCCTCCAGGACATCTACACCCAGCGATGTGTGAGGAAAGCATGGAAGATCATCAGAGACTCCTGCCACCCGAACTACAAACTGCTCTCACTGCTACCATCAGGCAGACGGCACCGCGGTGTCAGGACCCACACCAGCAGACTGCGAGACTGCTGAACTCCAGCCAATAAAACAACACAGCACACCTCATATACCCTTACACTGCACTTTATTACCAGACTAGTTACACTGACTCTAAGGGTCAGCACTCAACGCAGGCTACATCATCTCTCTTCAGCACTCTGACGAGCTATCTGCACTAAACATCACAGCGCATTAACTGCTCTCTATAACAACATCCACATGTTATTACTCACTCACTGAGTTATTACTGTGAATTATACTGACTATTACTGTGATTACTGCAACTGCGTTCGGTTGTAACATGAAAACTTCCTGTCTATTCCTTGTGTAAATGTGTATATTGTTATTTAATGTATATTGTCAGTTATCATACGTCGTGTTGCTTATACGGTTCGTTACAGAGAGTTGCAGGTACACCTGTTTACACGATGTGTGACGATAAAGAGATTTGATCTGATTTGATTTGATAGTGTTTACAATGTTTGGAGATGTTTCGATTTATTTACCAGATTTTACGAATGTACTAAAACATGACTTCTACACAGATGCGACTTATCTTTGCTTTTTTCTCTCTCAATAATGCAATTTATGAGCCGGTCATAATTTAGCCTGATCAATTTAGCTTTCTCAGATCAACACTTGACTTACCAACAATACAATCCAGAGATATAAAACACTTAAAGCATATCACAATGTTAGTTTATTTTCAATTTCTAAAATATTTAATTATTTTATAAAACATTTACATTAATTACATTTATTTAAATTTGAATCAAAATGAATTTATAACACATTTTAAATAAATTGAATTTAAATGCATGTATAAAACTTTTGTCACAACACAGTACTAGTTACAATAAACTAGTGAAGGTCAGTGGTCCTTAGAACGAGTTACAGGCCATAGAATGCACACTTTTCTCTTAGATTCATTTATACTTCAACTTAAAATCTTGTTGTTAATGCAAAAGTCGCTCCTCTAACATGCTGACTGCTGTATGCGTTACCCAGAATCCCCGAGCGAGGCTCAGTGGAGAGCAGACTCACGTGTGCGTGCGAGGCGTGTGATGGGCGGGCCGTCGCCGTCGCTGTAGACCGCTGAGACGCTGAGACGGTACTCTGTGTCCGACAGAAGAGGCTGCAGCAGCAGCGAGGTCTGAGCCGCAGGAACCATGGCCTGCAGCAGAGAGAAAACACACCGTCAGTCACAGAAACCACAGTCATGAAAGGTGTTTTGATCTGGGGAATGTTCCTGCGGTGAACACAAACACATTTCAGGACGACGGCCTGTAGTGCTGCGAAACTCTGCGGCAAAAACCCACCGATAAAAACTAAACACACGCTTACAAAACTCCACAGAAGACAAAACACATTCACAAGCCACAGGGAGTTTTGAGTCACTTTAACATACAAACACTGTACATTCACTGATGTTACAGCATTTGAGACCCATTAAACGTGATGGATCACATCTGAACGTGCCATGGATCAAAAACAGCAGTGCCGCAAAACATAACTCTCTTATCCCTCTGAGCCAGCTCTGGTTTAATCCAGTTTTCACACATAGGCTGTCATGAGAAATGTATGATGTGAAAATGACTAGGGATGCATGATATTGGATTTTTGCCGATATCCGATATGCCGAAATTTTTTCAAGACATTTTGCCCCGATGCCGACACCGATATATATTTCCTTTTGATTGGAAACAGCATCGAGTCTCTCCTGTACAGAGATTATAAACAAATCATTTTACATTTTGGTTAGTTTTTAACAAAAACTTACTTTTTAGGGTTAAATAAGCAATAATGAAGTTATTTTATAATGCGAGTACATGCAAAGCTTTGAAAAATAACTATAAAACAATCAAAAAATTCCCTCCATTTTTAAGTAACCGTAACATTTTATTTGTAGATTTAATATTTGTAGATGGTCTAAAGCAAAAAACTGTAAAAAATTCTGAAAAACTTTTAGAGCCCCTTGTATCATAATGTTCTCATAATGAAAAAAAAGTATATATATATATATATATATATTACACATTAATTAATAAATCTGTATATATAAAATTAATTTCCAAGTGTCATGTTTGTGATTTTTATTGATGTAAGCTATAGCTTCTGACCTTTAAATCTAAACACACTCATCATTTTATGACATCAATTACTGCTTTATTTAATCAGAAACACAATCTTAATGTTATTTGTGTATTTTACTTTCATTTTATTACAAGTAGGCCTACAGCGCCCCCTAAATAAATAAAAGGCCTCACCGGACGGGCGTTAGGACTCTTTACTCTCATCACACACTGGACGCCTCATTCTGTACTTGTATTCTCAGATTAAAGAGATCCACAGGAAAAAATTCATTCAGCAAGGCATATCGGCATAATTTTTGATATCGGGCCGTTACCGATATCAAATTTTAAGCCACTATCGGCCGATTCCTTTAACATTCCGATAATATCGTGCATCCCTAAAAATGACACTTGCATTTAAATCAGCACCATTTGCAATGTCTATATATACTGTATATTCAGGTTATAATCATAAGTTTGAAGACATGTAGGAGAGCATGAACAGTCAGATTCAGATGCTCACCGTCTGTTCGGCGCGGTCTCCTCGTGTGCTGATGTACGACACTCGGTACTGACGCACGTTTGGACCCAGTGGATCCCATGATACACGCATGCTGAAGGTCGTCATATCACTCAGCTGCAGATTCCTGATGGCCAGACGCTGCACTGCGAGCACACACACGCACGCACGCACACACACACACACACACACACACACACGTCTCTGAATCTGATTCATCCGAGTGAAAGATGCAGCGATGCTTGCTGTGTGTCGTACCTTTATCTGCTCCAGCTGAGATCCGGAGAGTCTTTTCACCAAATCCAAACAGAACCTCACTCCAGATGGGCTGAAGAACGCCACGCTCGCCGGGACGCCCTGACAACAACACACACACACACAGACACACACACAGACACACACACACACACACACACACACACACACACACACACACACACACACACACACACAGAGACACAGACACAGACACTCACAAACACACACACACACACACAAACACACAGAGACACAGACACTCACAAACACACACACACTCACTCACTCACTCACACACACACAGAGACACAGACACAGACACACACACACACACACACACACACACAGAGACACAGACACTCACAAACACACACACACTCACTCACACACACACACACACACACACACACAGAGACACAGACACTCACAAACACACACACACTCACTCACACACACACACACACACACACACACAGAGACACAGACACTCACAAACACACACACACTCACTCACACACACACACACACACACACACACAGAGACACAGACACTCACAAACACACACACACTCACTCACACACACACACACACACACACACACAGAGACACAGACACTCACAAACACACACACACTCACTCACACACACACACACACACACACACACAGAGACACAGACACTCACAAACACACACACACTCACACTCACACTCACACAGACACAGACACACACAGACACAGACACACACACTCTCACACACTCACACACACACACACTCTCTCTCTCTCTCTCACACACACAGACACAGACACTGACACTGACAGACACACACACTCTCTCTCTTTCACACACACACACACACACACACACTCTCTCACACACACTCACACACACACACACACACACACACACA